TTCCCTTATTTCTATTTTTGTTAAAAAATATAGAATGAAACCTTTTCATCACACAAAGACGCAATAAAACATATTAAATTTGTTCAATAAAAGAAAAATAATAAGGTTATCGAGTACTGACTATATATTTGTAGTGATTCATTAATTTATAAATAAGTCCAATTGAAGCTAGGCTTGCCTGTGAGAATATAACCTTAAATTAACAGAAAGGTCGTGATCTAATTTTGAATTATTGTGTGCATTATATAATGTACCATTACTGAAAACTTACACTATAATATAGAGGTTCATAAACAAATTTTCGTAACTAGTTCTGTATCATTATAACTTGCAACGTTAGATAAATAATGAAGTTGTGTTCCTTGACCCATTATGTGCTTGTGTATTCACTCCACCACAACCCATAGTTCTCCATAGGTATACAAATGGGATGATGCGCCCTGTTAAAGAGACACCGCACGCATAATATGGGTACCCATGCATGGTGTGGCTCTGTGGCCCCAGCTCACCAGGATGGGCCACGGAGGGTGCGTAATAAATCAATTTAATCAATCAATTCTACGCTCAATTGTCATCATACAGCTGTGAAGTGGTGCAAAGTACTCACGTGGCTTTGTGACCTCGTGGTGATTGATGGTGGCACCTCCTCCGGACACGGCAATTGATGCATGTGTGAGCTCCTCCAGTGATTGGCCGCCCTCGTTACTCCTCTAGCTTCTTGTTGCACGCATGTATAGCTGTCAGCTGTTGTTGCGTGTATGTATAAATGTCAGTAATTGTTGCACGCATGTATAGCTGTCACCTGTTGTTGCGCAAATGTATAGATGTCAGCTGTTGTTGCGCACTGTATAGATGTCAGTTATTGCCAAATCTTGCACTAACTATATGTACTGGTTTGTGCTTGCATATCCACTTAGTTTCACATTGCTTGGAACTTCCATCATATTAATTAGTACTTGCTTCTGTCAGCACGTTATAAAATTATATGCATATTTGACAAAACTTTCACAAAGCGCAATAAACAGTTTGCATGAGACCAATTACATCACAGAAAAGACCTAACAGTCATTACGACCATATACGATTTTTTTTGTTAATTAACACGGCAGAGTTACAGTGATTATCTGTATCTGAATTACACATCTCATGACAGCCTTCAAACTTGTTGAATTAAACATCTCACGCTTGTCTCTGCTCAACATGACCTGTGGCAGGCATTACATTAGAAGTCAGTACAGCACTCGGCAATATGTCGTTATTTCCTCATCTCCAGTTCTCTCACCTGTTTATTCATACACAGGAAAGTAATAACTGGCCAAAAACACAGCAAAAACATACGTTGTTTAGCCTAGTCAGATACTTTAAGGAATTAAAAAAAAAACATTCCTAGGCCGATGATTTTATTATATTTTATTTATTTATTATGTATTATGTGCTGAAGGTATCTAGTGTCAGCAGTAAGTGCACTTACTTCCTACCTGTCTGACTTCATCCATAATATTATAAGAATTACACTGTTGACAGTCGTTAAATAAATTATCATTCTGACCATTATTATAGATGTGTATGGTTAACGTTCTTCGGGTTAATGAAAGCTTCGTTTTCAAGTAGATTTATAGTTCCTAAAACTAATGTTCTTAATGCATATAAATGCGTAATTTTTGTGTAACAAAACAAAATAATTGCTATGACGTATAGTGAATTCTCATTATGAAAGGATGACCTGAAACTTTGACTTAATTGACCGTTTTGTTGACGTTGTGAAACCTTAGGGAAGCTAGGTGTATGGTGTATGAGAATGTGTATGGTGTATGAGAGTGTGTATGGTGTATGAGAGGGGGGGATCGGGCTTTCACAGGGCCTGCAAGTGCTGCAACCATGCTAGCTCATATCCTGCAGGCTGCCTCGCTCACTGGAAATGCTGTCTGCCTCAACACGCTGACATTCCTTTTGACTGCAATGTTTCTGCTTATGCCATCTGACATTCCGCTCTCTAGATATGCTGCCTGTTATACAAGTGTCATACACACACACAAATTAGCAATCTGCCATACAGGTGTTATACACAACCATCAGCACTCTGTTATACACATACAAAAGCAGTCTGTCATACAAGTATCATACACAACCCCCAGCACTGTCATGCAAGTATCATACACACACACACATCATCACTGTAATACAAGTGTCATACACACATCCATCTGCAGTCTGTCATACAAGTGCGTATAGTGACATACAAGTATCACTCACACATACACTCATGAGCAGTCGTAGTACATTAGGCTTCGTTCTGGACTCGCAATCGGAGATCCCGGGCAGCTCAGAAATAGTTCGGCACGTTTCCTTTTACCTAATGCATCTGTTTACCTAGCAGTAAATAGGTACCCGGGAGTTAGGCGCCTGTTGAAGGTTGGGGGGTTGAAACCTGGGGGTTGACAAGGGGATATATAAGGATCATTTGTCGAGGGGGATATATCGAGGGTCGTATATACATTATATAAGTATATATCATACACACATCAGTCTGTCCGTTTGCTGTGCGTGTTAGTACTTACCTAGTTGTACTTACGGGGGTTGAGCTTCGGCTCTTTGGTCTCGCCTCTTAATTGTCAATCAGATTCCCGAACAGTGGCCTTGTAAGGATGTATCTACTACTGAATCACCAACAACTCGTTGAAGATAAATGCAAGTATTGAAACTATGTCAACCAGCATCCTGTTTCCCTCTAGAATCCAAGCATCGGTGGTTCAGTGGTAGAATTCTCGCCTGCCACGCGGGAGGCCCGGGTTCGATTCCCGGCCGATGCACATTTTACTTCATTTCAAAATCCAGATCTTCAGTTCTTCAGGAACAATGGTGGGAACCTTGGACAAGCCGCCGGCCTCTGTTCCTGTTAAAAGCCACTAGAAAAAGATAGTGGCCCTCAGGTAAATTCGGGTAAATCAAACATTGTATTGTATTTTACTAACTAACTAGTACTAACTTTCTGCCCGAAACGCTGCGCGTACTAGTGGCTTTACAAGAATGTACAGTAATTACTATGCTATGTATCCTCACAATCCCAATGTACCTTCTTGTATATATATATAAATAAATAAAAATAAATAAAAAATTGATTGTAAAACAGCAACTGCGCCTTGTAACTATTACTAAACTTAACTCTGGGCTCAGGTGCGTCCATCTCCTTATTGCTAAAGCCACACTGATGCAGGAAATGACTCCTGACACGAAGGAAGAGGACGACATTTCAAGCAGCTGACACACGCACGCACACATACATACATACATACATACATACATACATACATACATACATACATACATACATACATACATACATACATACATACATACATACATACATACATACATACATACATACATACATACATACATACATACATACATACATATAGAGTCTTCAACACACACACACATACATACATATAGAGTCTTCAACGGTAAATAGTAAAACCAAAAGTGTGCATCGGCCGGGAATCGAACCCGGGCCTCCCGCGTGGCAGGCGAGAATTCTACCACTGAACCACCGATGCTTGTATTATTGAGGGGAAACGTCTCTTTAATATCTCTACTTATTTTTATTATGCAAACGGTTTAGCTATAACAATTAATGATAATCTTTATTGATATGAGGTATACATAATGTAGACTATTACAATTAATGTGATTGTTTAGTTATTAATGAATATATAGGTGCCAATCCTTCCAGCAGTGATAAACAAGTTTCATAGGTTGCATAATAATTCACTGTGTCGGGGGACAGGAAGCCAGCGTGTATTCATACACGTTTGGCGTTTATCGAGGTCCCTCACTTCCTTCCAGGGCCGAATTACTGATCCCGCCCAGGATATAACCCTACAACAGACTAATTCCTGAGTACCTACTCACTGCTAAGTGAACAGGAGCATTAGATGAAAGGAAATGTGCCCAACCATTTCTGTTCCGCTCGGAATTCGAACCCAGAATTTTCAATTGTGCGTCGAGAACGAATCTGAAAATGATATTTAACTATTTTCACACACACACATAACTCCCTTGTGGCCTCAACGGGGACAGGAAGCCTGCGGCTCGTAAAAGGTTTCCCATTATTTCTCAGAACTTTTTTTTTTTAACTGAGATAATGTCTTAGTATTTACAGTTTCGACTGCCAGACAGTTTCATGGGTTTATAACTATGGGTGAAAATGTTCCTTTTGTTTTCTGTCTTACATTGTAAGGTTGTACATTTTGGGAGTGGCACCCGAGTGAAGCAAGCAGGCAGGTTGTATCCTTGGGTGACCTACAGTGCCACCTGGTGGTGTGCTTTGACACTCATGGTTTACCAACATTTATTTATTTATTTATATACAAGAAGGTACATTGGGATTGTGAGGATACATAGCATAGTAATTACATTCTTGTAAAGTCACTAGTACGCGCAACGTTTCGGGCAGGTTCTTAATCTAAGAAACTGAAGCATTGAAGAGACTACTGCTTTCCTTGTTGCTATCTCTTCTCTTTTTCATCAAGATACAGTTCAACTTCACCTGTTCTTTCTGGATACTTTTACCGTTACAATGTTTCCTCTCATACTTGTGCTCACCTCACCTCTATAAACACACCAGATTCTGGTCATGGTGTTTGGTAGGCTTGTGCAAGTCCATAGGCCTGATTGTTTTGTAGATGTGTCTGTGGTACCAGAGCCAATGAACATGAGGAGAAGGAGGGGGGGGGGAGGGAGAGAGAGCAACTGAGGTCTATTCAAAATCTGCATTATTTACTTTATGGAAAAATAGACATATAATAAGAGCATTTGTCTATTACACTTAGGTAGTCCACTGTATCTACCATTTTCATGTCTTCAAATGGGAAGTATCCACAAAGGGCAGAGTTTAAAGTCAATAAAATGATGCAGTCTCAAGACATACTAAGGAAAGCTTAAAATATAAAGCAAACACAAGAAGGTACAGTAGTCTGGTAAAGAGTGAATAGGCTAAGTTCTTTCTACATTTATTTTCAACATAAAATAATTGATATTTTACAATGATGAACCTCTATCTATTCAACTATAAAAAATAAGCAAATCAAATAAAAAATTTAACACTATATATACATTATAAATAAAATACCTAAACGATTAAATCTAGAAACTGATGGACATTTATTGAGTTTCCCTTGGAAGGAACTTATTGTACATCTTTGAAGAAGAAATAGAAAAAAATGATAATGAGAACAGCCCACTGGGTACGTACACTGAACACATGATGTGCATTACATATGCTGTACTGAATCTTTTTCATGAAATGGTAACTAAGCACATTCAGTCTGTTCATGTGTAAGAATAAATAAATTTGAATACATTACTGTGAACAAATTGGGGGATTATGTTTGTGAGTGAAACATGTGGCATGATTAATTGTCGTGTAATTCAGCAGAATGGGGCTACAGTATCTGAGGAAAAAGGCATACACAGAACTGTAAACAAAATAGTATGACATGAATCATTATTCAATACTGCAACATTATTTTTGTTCTCATGATGAGGTAAACTGAGCCTAAAATGATACCCTCCTTTGTTCATTTTTATATGTATTCTTTCACATATTGTAAGTATAAAGTGAAAAGTTGCTTCCATGTTCCTAGAGATACAGACGTCGTCACAGAACAGCTTATAAAAGAAGTACATTATTGCAATTACAAGCAATACAGTACTATAACTAAACTAATAGGAACTGAACATTATCTTGTTTAGGGCTGAGATTTAATTAATTAACACTATGTAATACTGACAGTAGAGGACATAGACATAGGAGTTTTTTTAACCATACACTGCTCCAATTGCTATACGAGATTTCCTCCTCTGTGCTCCAACCCTCATATGCCATTTTTCCCATTTGTTTTGTTAACTATTTTTTTTATCTATTAAGACTATTCTCTATCTTTACCTGCATCAACGCATTTACTAAGAGAACTACAGAAACAAAAGACAGGCCCATGGAAATGTTGATGCCCTGCCTTATTGTAGTCTTCAATATTAACTGAGAAATGTCGAGACTATTACATATAACACCACAATTTTATATGGAAAACTACCTGATAAGAATAAACATATTCCTTCAGAGTAATAGAAAGTGAGACTACTAAACCTGCCAATCTTGGTTACAGATAAATATTCCCAATATTGAATGTTTTGATAATAGCTGATCAAATCCATTTTACTTTTCAACTTCATATTAAATATACATATTCAAATATTTTACTTATAACAAAAATACAAATACTGTTGGGATAAAAGGTGGAGTTGAGACACCAAGACATGAGCTTGACTGATACACAGGTCAAAAAAAGTAAAGATTTTCATTAAAAAGTTTTTATTCAAAAGACATTTAGCAGCTATGTCTTCTATAAAAGTAAGGTGATTTTTTTCTGAAATAGGTAGTAAATTACAAAAAAAACAAAAATGTACATAGGGAGGTCAAAATTGTTGGTATAAAATGTAGTGTACTGAAAATCTTTGTCTCCATTCTATGAAAGTGGGAATTGAGATACTGTACAGTAATGATTTATGTTATCTGAATACTGTACCTTGCATTTGTAATGTGTTGAATTTTTATAATAAGTTCCTAAATATCATAATAAGACACAGAACTATAGCCATTTGAATTCTGTCTCTTTGCCTCATTACAAGAATCAAAGGGAAGGTTGCAACACCCTAAGTTTTTTAAGTTTTCTTTTCACCGAAAAACAAAAAACGGCTAAAAATTGACAGGATTGTAATTGTCACAAGGCAATGCATACGAATTTAAATACAGTATGTAGCTATAAATGAATGTAGGTCTTTAGTCAAAAATTGTAAATTTAACATGAAAAATATAACTTGAAATGAAGTAAAGTGTAAAATAAAACTTGAAATGTTGAATATACTGTATATGAAATGAGACCGTCACCCTACCATCCAGCTGCTTTGGAGTTAGAGCAAAGTTTTCAAATTGGTGTCTCAACTTCATCCACCTCAATGCCAATTCATAAAATAAATATAAAAAATGCTGTACTGTAGTTTTTATTATTGTAGTTTACCCCTTCCTTTGGTTTACCGAAAATTCCTGTAGTCCTCGTCTGATCAATTCTTCATTAACACCATCGTCAACTAATATCGTTAAAACACCAATAGCATCTAGATCTATCTTGTTCCTGTGTTCATCATCAAAGAAGATCATTTCACTGAAGTTATATCCAGATTTTGCCTTGATTCTGAAACAAAATAAATCATTTGAAAAAACCTTTAAGATTAAATCTGTTTGTGTATAGGAAAGTATACCTTATTTTTTTGCAAGTTGTTTTATTGCCATCCGAGACAGGCTAGCCCCTTTTAACTGCATGTAAAGCAACAATGTAAAGCAATTAGGAGCAACATGCAAAGTTGTTCCTAATTTAAACAAAAAGTGAAAATGATATCTGTAAAATGTGTTAAGAAACAAAAGCAAACTAGATTAAAAACAGTTTCTGTTGCAATGGCTTTTTGCATCTTTTATTATAATTACTGTATGTGTTAAACTAGAATTTGTTTTATTCAGAATGAATATAATCCTAATACACCAGATATTATCATCCAGGTAGGACTGCCATTTGATATTTTCCATGGATCATCATCTGAAGTAAATACTGTACAGGCAAGCATAGCTTGTTATACAATTGTACATGAAAGATACTGTACTGGGAACCCCCACCAAATGTGGCTTTTTTTCAACATAAATGTACTTTTAGACAATTGACCAAGAGTGACTAAACATGGGCCATAGAGGCAACAAGCAGGCTGGACCCCTGGGTGACCTAAGTCACCATCTGGTTGTGCTCGCGTAGTAGTGCATAAGTTGTTAACGTTCTGGAAATTGCCCCTTATCATGTTCCTATATTCTGCTTATTATATTGTATATTATACTGTAGTTCATTTTGCTTTGCCTGTAGTTTCTAGTTGATTTTGCTTGGTTTTGAGCTGATCTCTGTGCTGCATGCACCCCTTCGTCTCTATGAGCATGCCAGATTCTGGACCTAGTGTTGGGTAGGGCTGCACAAGTCTGGAGGCCTGGTAGTTTTGTGGATGTCTCTGTGGAACCAGAGCCAATGTACTGTGAGCTACTGAAGCCACCCAGAAAAGTGCCTTTCATTATACAGTGTATTCAGCAATTACTTATCGATTTAAAAACAGTAACATACATTATAACTATCACGTACAGTACATTATGTTAAGTCTAATATTGCCCCCAAAACACTGTGCATAATTAGGAGGCCTTTTAAATTTGTTTACAATCACTGTAATAGTTAGCTTAGTTCATTTATTATGCACTCCATATCCATCCTGTGGGCAGAAGTGGGAGGCGTTACAGAGGCATATACTGTATTGAGTTCAGGGACTGTAATAGGAATGTAAATTCTGCATCATAATTGTATGTACAATTTTGTTTACAAATACACTATTACAGTGTTTAAAGATATACCTGCATGACACTTTGCTTGTATGTAACCATCTTCCCATGAATTAACTAACCATGAATTAGATGTTCAAATCCATTATACTTATACATATATGCATTACAATACAGTACCTGTACTGAAAATAATTTCAACGTGAATAAAATTTTGTTTTCTATAAATAAAATCATACTTCTTTTTATCAATACTGTACAGTATTTAATGTGCAGTTCAACACCCTGGAATACTGGTTAAATTCAAAATTTTATCGCCTACCTCTGAAAATGATTCACTTTACATCCTGGATAGATCTCTTTATATGTGAAGTACTTGTCCCAGTCGAACAGCTTCAGCAGCTGATTTGCGCCGTCGACCTCTCCAGTGCGTGACGCAGCTGCCAAAATGTAGCCTTCATCATGGAGCCACTTTAACACATTTGGTACTTCCTTGTAACACTTAACCCTTTTGGACCTAGCATCCACTATATGCCCATCCCTGGAACATCAGATACAGTAAATATATGCAGTATTTTTGGCAGCTTGGAGTACTGTATTTTTTTTAGCAGTGATGGCAGTATTAAAGAAAAAGGTAGAAGTAGTAAAGGTGACATGCAATACAGTAATGAATACAGTAAAACACTGGCTGAATGATAAATTTTACTATTCGGCATCATGAAGTGGCACAAATTTTAATTGTTTAACCCTTTAGCTACAAATCTGTTGTTCAATGATACAGTATATCAAAAATGCTCCCCTGATGCCACCACCTACCCTTTCTCAGCAGTATATTTCAATACTGTAATTATTCTATTTATGCAATTTAATTTTTTGCACATTTAAGTATTGTAATTTACTTTTATATATAAAAGAAAAATTTGGTTGGGGTAGACGGGTTATCTTGCCAATCTGAACAAATCGTCTTTTCGACTGTGTTCGATACCAAGTTGTCTGGAAAGCAGGATGGCTGTTATACATGCTCCTTGGAGGCACAAATTGAAATTGAAATAAGTTTATTGATGTAAAATACACACAAAGGGATGAGGTAGCTCAAGCTATTCTCACCCCGTTCAGTACATCGTGTTAATACATACATAGACACACATCACAAACAATAAACATATTACCAAACATTCTGAGAGGAGGCACAAGGGTGCATTGTTTTTAATTATTTATTGTACATAAAATAATAAAATACAAATCTTTTTAATAAAGATTCTCTAGTTGCGTATTTCACCTAATATGCCATTGATTCATTGGTTATGATAAATTTTGTATATGATGATTTTGTATGTTTTGGGAACACTTGGAATTACTGTACAATACTGTATATAGAGTTAATTGGGCTATTTTTCCAAACAAATGACAAACAAAACAAAAATCCCTGCCTAAATAACTATCTTGATAATTTTAATGGTAAATATGGAAACAGCAGTACAGTGTATTGTAATTTCCTCTGCCCAGATATGTAATACCCTGTACATATTTATAAAAGTTGGAAACAAATATACTGTAGCTGTATTTTGTTGTCGTCCAAATACTTGAGCCAAATGGCTTATAGTTCACATAAATAATATTTCATTGTACGGTACTCACTTCTTCTTTCGAAATGGCGGGTCCACGTGAGTATCCACCCAAAAAGGCCATAGAGTATAGTCTGTAACAAATATTAGAGCAAATTATTATTTATTTGGAAAATGTTCTGCTCCAACCTGTCAGAAGCAGCTGCAGTAGCAATTAGCTTAGTTTGGTTAATTTATTTTATGTGTAACATCTTTGTTAACGAAGTCTGCACAACATTAGGGGTCTATATGACAAAGTTATAATTAAAGCAACAGAATGCAATCCTTGAATATTCTTGACAATTATACCCTGCAGGTTGAGAAACAGATAACTGGAATTTATAATAAAAAAAAAAGGCACAACACTAACAGATAATTGAGGAATTGATCTGTTTCATGGATTAATTATTTAGTTTAGCTACTATTATTGTTCTATACATTACAGAGCAGACCATATCAGAATATGCACCACACTCAATCTTGAGATCATTTTGGGGCTTAGCGTTCCTGCGGCCCGGTCCTCGACCAGGCCTCCTTTTTGTTACACCCCCCACAGGAAGCAGCCTGTAGCAGCTGTCTAGCTCCCAGGTACCTATTTACTGCTAGGCAACAGGTGCATCAGGGTGAAAGAAACATTTTTGCCCATTTGTCTCCGCCTCCACCGGGGATCGAACCCGGAACCTCAGGACTATGAATCTGAAGCGCTATCTACCCAGCTGTCCGGCACCACTCAAGATGCCATTTGAGAATTATCTATAATATAAGAGTATATATATAATATATATATATATATATATATATATATATATATATATATATATATATATATATATATATATATATATATATATATATATATATATATATATATATATATATATATATAAATATAAATACATATATATATATATATGTGTGTATATCACGAAAATAAACACGTGATTAAGAATGTGACAATGTCAGACCACGGAGGAAAATGAAACAGGAATTTCCTTAAGTACTTTCGTATATTAAATACATCTTCCTTCTGAAGATGTATTTAATATACGAAAGTACTTAAGGAAATTCCTGTTTCATTTTCCTCCGTGGTCTGACATTGTCATATATATATATATATATATAATCCAGGCTAAACGATAGTGTAAGACTTGACCATATTGCACTTCCTTACCAAGATCAAAAGCAATCAGCTTTGGCCTCTTAGCCATGTTGGTCTCCTGTAGGTCGGCCAGGAATACCTTAACTACACTAACAAGGGGCTGTTGCTGTCGTTAAAGACGTCCAGTCTGGTGGCAGAGTGGTTATAGAACTGTTAATAAGGCCAGCACTCTACTAAGCCTCAGAGAATGGTAGTTTAGAGACTGGATATATTGAATAATTATCCCAATATATCTTGGATAAGTCGCTCCACAACACCGTCTCTTGGACCCTCGACTTCCTGTGGTCTCGCCTGCTGCATATTTACTTCTAGTTTCGTTATGAAATTAGATTATTTTTATTTACTTTATTATTTATTAGATTATATGACATTATAGTGAGTCAATATACGCCATATTTCTTCATTACTTGCGTAATGTAACCTGCCCGAATCGCTGCGCGTACTAGTGGCTTTACAAGATTGTAATTACTATGTTATGTATCCTCACAATCCCAATGTACCTTCTTGTATATATATAAATAAATAAATACAATAAATAAATAAATAAATAATGCTAGGAAGCTTTGCGTAGCTTTGGCTACCTTTGGGTAGCTTTGGATAATTCTACGGATCGGTATGTCTAATTTCATTATAAAATGATATTATTTCAGAGTAAAAATTATGCTTTATCATGTTCTACATTCAGCACCAACATTATAGTGAGTAAATATATTATATTTCTATAGTAAATATATAATTATTTCTACCCAACGCTTCCTAGCGCTGGGTAATTTGTTTTATTTATTTATTTATTTATATATTTATTTATTTATTTATTTATTTATATACAAGAAGTACATTAGGGGTTAAGAGAGAACATAGAGTTTAAGTTGAAATTACAATCTTGTCAAGGCACTATCTTGTAAAGTCATCTATAGTCAGATGGACCGGCTACAGTTAAGGATTAACAGGTGGATGAATCCTGGCCAGGATACGAACCCAGGACAAAGTGCTCGCGAAAAGCTAGGCGAGGGCCCACAGGATGGGTATGGGGTCCACTACCACCCTCAGGATGGGTATGGGGTCCACTACCACCTTCAGGATGGGTATGGGGTCCACTACCACCCACAGGATGGGTATGGGGTCCACTACCACCCACAGGATGGGTATGGGGTCCACTACCACCCACAGGATGGGTATGGGGTCCACTACCACCCGTAGGATGGGTATGGGGTCCACTACCATCCACAGGATGGGTATGGGGTCCACTACCACCCACAGGATGGGTATGGGGTCCACTACCATCCACAGGATGGGTATGGGGTCCACTACCACCCACAGGATGGGTATGGGGTCCACTACCACCCACAGGATGGGTATGGGGTCCACTACCACCCACAGGATGGGTATGGGGTCCACTACCACCTTCAGGATGGGTATGGGGTCCACTACCACCCACAGGATGGGTATGGGGTCCACTACCACCCACAGGATGGGTATGGGGTCCACTACCACCCACAGGATGGGTATGGGGTCCACTACCACCCACAGGATGGGTATGGGGTCCACTACCACCCACAGGATGGGTATGGGGTCCACTACCACCCGTAGGATGGGTATGGGGTCCACTACCACCCACAGGATGGGTATGGGGTCCACTACCATCCACAGGATGGGTATGGGGTCCACTACCACCCACAGGATGGGTATGGGGTCCACTATCACCCACAGGATGGGTATAGGGTCCACTACCACCCACAGGATGGGTATAGGGTCCACTACCACCCACAGGATGGGTATGGGGTCCACTACCCCCCCCACAGGATGGGTATGGGGTCCACTACCGCTGGAGCTGAGGTTATGGAATGTGTGGCGGAACTTGAAACATGGTGTACTCAGCCAATATAATAAATTGAATGCCTATGAAAGGCATTCAATTTATTGCATCACCCGAGTACACTGTTCTAACCTCAATCTACATTCAAGTTAATCTCCAATTTTCTCTTCTCAGAAGGTATTAATAAGAAAATTTGGCTGAGTTATGATTCTGAATAAATTATATATAACCACCGAAACACTTACATGCATTTAATTACGATCAGACTGTTTTGTTATAGTAATTTAAGACACGGGGAATACACCCGAACAAATGTTAAACATCAGTAAAGCGCGATAATTAATCTATGAGGAAGTACAGCTTGTTTGCTTATTTATTATGAAGGCCTTATTAATGCAGTGGGTGGTAGTGAAAAAGATAACTGAGGTACGTAATGGGCTCAGGAACTGAATCCCACCACTGTCGAGTACAGGAAACCTGTTAATTTCAGGTTTTAGTTTAACGGTTTCAAGCTCAAGGCTGGAAACATGCTTTTCACCCACAGGGTTATAAACCTATGGAACTGTCTACCTGCCGAAGCCATAAATACCAAAACTGCTGAGCTTTAAAACATTATCAGGACAAATGAGGGACCTTTGACAAGCTGCCGGCTTCCTGTCTTCCCATCGAGGCCACTAGAGTGTAAGTGGCCCTCAGGTATATTCACGTAAATTTGACTTGATCGAGGTTCCAACTATCTCAGCTTGGATAGCAACCCACAACAGTTGACTAACTCCTGAGTATACAGTACTGTATATTTATTGCTAGGCGAACAGAGGAATCGGGTAAAAAGGAAACATGCTCCAACGTTTGTACTGCCACATGAATCGAACTCGGGATCTGTTGGCTGTGAGCTGACTACGCAGACAACTGCACTATGGCTCACCCTAACTACAGTATCAGCCTTATTAGAATGATTCTAGAGTGTATAGAATGATATACTCAACTAAGGTAATGTGAATAGCAAAGAAGTGTATGATTGATTGATATCTATATATATATATATATATATATATATATATATATATATATATATATATATATATATATATATATATATATATATATAAATATAAATATAAATATAAATATATATATATATATATATATATATATGTCGTACCTAGTAGCCAGAACGCACTTCTCAGCCTACTATGCAAGGCCCGATTTGCCTAATAAGCCAAGTTTTCATGAATTAATATATTTTCTCTATTTTTTTTCTTATGAAAAGATAAAGCTACCCATTTCATTATGTATGAAATCAATTATTTTTTATTGGAGTTAAAATTAACGTAGATATATGACCGAACCTAACCAACCCTACCTACCCTAACCTAACCTATCTTTATAGGTTAGGTTAGGTTAGGTAGCCGAAAAAGTTAGGTTAGGTTAGGTTAGGTAGGTTAGGTAGTCGAAAAATATATAATTCATGAAAACTTGGCTTATTAGGCAAATCGGGCCTTGCATAGTAGGCTGAGAAGTGCGTTCTGGCTACTAGGTACGACATATATATATATATATATATATATATATATATATATATATATATATATATATATACATAAACTGAAAACTCACACCCAAGAAGTGACTCGAACCCATACTGCCAGGAGCACAATGCAACAGGTGCGTACAGGACAAAACCACTAACACGCATAGCATTTTTGGCAGGTCCTTACTCTTCATGACCCCAAGAGGCTCCTATACCATTGAGATTAATAAGTTCATTATGGACCCCATGCATACCCTTTCTATGGGCGAGTAGCAGAAGGGTTACAGTGTTAAATAATAGGTTTAAGCACATACTCCCAATGATCTTTAAGCTAAGTTTTTCGATCTCAATTAGTATTAAGTTTTAATCGTAAGTTTTTCCCCATAACTTGCCTGAAATGCTGTGTGTATTTGTGGCTTCAGGCATTGTACCTACTAGCTTTATCTATAAATTCAACTTTATGTTTGTAACTCATTTTCAATGTATGTACCTTTACCTCAATAAACATCTTATTTGAAGTAATTTTCATTTGTGTTGAGTTAATTACATATAATTTTAATATAAGTACTTATCATTCATTCCACACTTATTCAGTGGGCAGTGGTGGAAAAGTTACAAGCACATCCATGTGCTACTGTACCTACAGTAGACAAATGTAGAATATTTGTCTTAAGACTTTTGGAGGTTTATCATATTGAATTCAATATTAACACATTTCTTTGACTGTTTCACATTCTATCGCAGGGTGTGTGAATGGTTTTGCTGGTAGCTTATGTTTGGTAATGCCTTACATTGGCTAGTAATGCAAACAACTGGAAATACTTATAAAAAGACCCAGTCCAAGCAGTAGTAACATCTAGTTATCTGCTTATTTTATTGGATGATCCATTATTAGGTGAATCTTAATGACCTCATTATAGCAAGATGATAGCTGGAATAGCTAAGAGTAGATTTCATTGTCTCAGACTTAGGAGATTTTGTTACGGTTCTTGGTGTATTAATGTTCTCAAGCTGCTTATAGGCAGTCAACGCCTCCTTTGAAGGCATATTATTAGGCTCAAATTTCAAATTCAAATTTTTATTCAAAAGAAAGTGTGTACAAAGAAACATAAGAGTAATGCACAATTGTGGGGACAGAAGTTCCACAAACTAATGAAGCCACTGTTACGCAAAGCGTTTCATGTAAAACTTAAAATAATTTGGACAAAATTTATTTAAAGGTCTGAAGGAGTAAACACTTAATACTAAAAGAGAAGTTAGCTGACAATAATTTAAAAAGTTCAAGAAAAATAACAGATGACCTCATTAGGTTAACTCAGACATGCAGGCGATAAGTCACAATAACGTGGCTGAAGAATGTGGACCAGACCACACACTAGAAGGTGAAGGGACGACGACGTTTCGGTCCGTCCTGGACCATTCTCAAGTCGATTGTGAGAATGAGAATGCATCCAGAATGAATGGTCCAGGACGGACCAAAATGTCGTCATCCCTTCACCTTCTAGTCAACTCAGACATTCTGTGGCCAACATGAGATGCAATCCACACAATGTGGACTATTAGCATCATTAACAGTTTTGTTGTATCTGTATATAGTTTCATACAGAAACATGTTACAACTATGTCTTAAAGAGTTAAGCACAATTAAGAATTATAAAAAATCACTTAGAATTTTTGTATAAATTTTGGTGATGTGTACATATTTGAGTGTAAGGAGTATAGCAATAGTTCAGTCTAAAGAACGAGGCCACTCAAAATATGAGCCATCACTTATTGTCAAGACAACTGAACTTCCAGCTGCACCAGAGTGGGCATTTGGAACAGAACTACCAGTGCACACACTTAGAAGGAATACTGTTTGAATATAGTATCTGTCTGGCTTAAGACATTGTACTTTACCTCAAGACAAAGCTGTAGCTAATCCTTGTTTTTATTCTTGGGTGGAAAAGGAGGGATTTTAATGTGGACGGAGTAATCTCCCACATTCGAGGGAAGTGCCATTGTCACTCTTAGTACAGATTGTGTTATGAGGATAACACTAAATTGTTGAGGGTAATTTCTGATAATAGTTTGTGCTGGGTAACTCATATCTAATATCTCTATGTGGACTGCACCAAGATCTTATTTTGTTAAAGATATTGTCATGTTTCTATGACATGTGAAGATAGATTATAGTCGCCCACCTTATTTGTCAGCACCTGTCAACACTCCAATGCCTTGACAGTTTACATCATAAAGGCTTCCTTTAATTACTAAATATAAACTTTCTGCTCTTTCCCCTAGCCACAGCTTTTAGGCTGAATTAAGAGCATTATGCGGATGTTTTAACTTATTGACAGCATACGTTACATCGTATTTGCTCATTGTGCACAGTTTACATGGGTGATTTGGCACAAAGAGTACCAACTCTCAAGGAGAGCGTATGACTGAAGATTTAACTAATCAATGCTGTCGATTCAGCAAGCCACTGTAGCAACAACCTCTTTTGTTTATTTGGGCTGGACGGTAGAGCGATGGTCTTGCTTCATGCAGGTCGGCGTTCAATCCCCGACCGTCCACAAGTGGTTGGGCACCATTCCTTCCCCTCCGTCCTATCCCAAATCCTTATCCTGACCTCTTCCAAGTGCTATATAGTCGTAATGGCTTGGCACGTTCCCCTGATAGTTGTTGTTGTTGTTGTACTTTCAGCGAGTACAGTACTTTTCAGCATTCATTTCTGACAATAAATGCTAAATCATATGATCAACTTATTTGACACAGTATTAATACACACTCCATGCTTTCACTTCAAATATAGATTGTGATTGCAGTGTACATACAGTATTTTCCTTTTAATGATAAGATGAGACTCCTAACATGGTGGCAACCAATCAGTACATGGCAGGTTAGGTCAGAATTGTTCAAGTATTAACCTGATTGAAGATGATTAAAAATTATAGCATGATATATGGCTGTATATATACAGTACAGTACTGTATTTTGTAACATTATTGTTTCTGTGCAATTTTCATATTTGTTTTGTGTTATCATTTGTTTTAAAAAAAAGCCAGTGTGATATTGCCTATCATGTGTAGAACTCTCATTCAAGTAAATTCTGTACTTATATGAAAATTCATAGTTATACTAGTAAGATATAACACATTAGTGAAGCTTTATCCTTCTTTCCCCACCTCTCCTTTCCATTTAAAAAATACACAAGGATAAAGTCGAGAACAAAAATTTTATGTTTTTGCCTCATTATTTCTGTACAATAGCCTCTGTATACATTATTGTACCTCTCTAGTACTATAATGTATACAGAGGCTATCGTACAGAAATAACGAGGCAAAAATTATTAACAGTTAAATAATATATTTTTAGTACCTGCATTTATTACTGTACCTGCATTAACAACAGTCCTACCATTTAAACAATTCTTCTATATAATACAAACTACAAGATTACAGAACAGTTATGGAGATTAAAACTATTACAGTGCTCACAAGACTAATGCTGTAGTACCATACAATCATATCACATGTGATATAACTTCTATGTGGTATACTAAGACCATGTTTGATCACACAAAGTAAAAATCTCATTCTGTACTGTCAAGGCTTTGTGGTGAGATAGGAGTGGTCTTTGCATATCTTCAGGGCTGATTATTTCATGATCAATTTCTGCCACTAATTTCTTGGATATGTGATATGAAGGACCATTAACACACAATTTTGCCTTAAGCTTATGTCATCTAAACTGGCAGTATGGTAGTTTTAAACTAAAATATAGTAAACTATTTTATTGTTGATGAAACTGGATAACACATCAGCGGCCGGAGCTGGAAAAGTCTAGTCTAGTTTCCTCTTCCTTGCCATCAATACGCTCTCGAGACGCTTGAGCCCTGCAAAGATTGGGACGTGTGTTACATTTGGCTAAGTGAAGTTTGCAGACTAATAACTTGTTTACTGTAATGTGTAGGTGATGAGAATCAATGTGAGATGTAAAATATAGATGTCAACAATGTAATAGTAACTTGAGTGCACAGCTTTGCTAGTATGCAAAACTTCAAGTAATGTTTTGGTCTTAAATATTGTTTGAAAAGTAGTTTTTATAAGTTACTTATTCTATACTTAATTAACCAATTTCGATTTACACAATAAAAAAATTAAATGTTAAATATAATGAAATCCCCTTTTCTTGTGGCCTTTTGGCGGCAGGTTGTCTGAGCTTATGCACTACATCAGTCTTTGAGGAGAAGGAAGCCTAGAAACGTTAAAGTTGACAAGTGCTGATGTTGATTTTCTTCTAGTGATATTAGATTGAGTTTCCTTAATATGTCTTCATAGAATAGCTCCCATATCTCTGGCATTGTTTTCATAACAAATCTCTGAGCTTTATCAGTTTTCTTCTTGTGCTTCACAATATGAGAACTCCGTGCTGGTGCTACATATTATAGAATTGGTCTGACATACACTGGTAATTACCTAAGTGTAGTTAAAGGAGGAGACCTATGCTCGTGTCCCATCTTCCCAGCACTCTGTCATATAATGCTTTGAAAATACTGACGATTTTGGCCTCCACCACCTTCTCACCTAACTTGTTCCAACCGTCTATCACTGTTTGCTAAAGTAAATTTTCTTATACTGGGTATTTCTTTGGCAGCTTTGTTTAGTTAGTCTGAATCTATGACCTCTTGTTCTTGAAGTTCTAGGTTTCAGGAATTCTTCCCTATTAATTGTATCTATTCCTGTTACTGTTTTGTACATAGTGATCATGTCGCCTCTTTTTCTTTTACCTTGTAGTTTTCGCATATTTAATGCCTCTAACCTCTCCTCATAGCTCTTGTCCTTCAGTTTTGGGAGCCATTTTGTTACATGTCTTCGTAAATTTTCCAGTTTGTTGATGTGCTTCTTAAGATATTAATGAGTTTGTTATACAGGTGTTATGGTGTTCATGTGCCCCGTCAGATTTTTAGCTGATGTTATGTCCATATCCACATTCCCGTGCCGACCGGTTGATTGACAGTTGAGAGATGGGAGCAAAGAGACGAAGCTCAACCCCCACAAGCACAACTAGGTGAGTACATCCTTCTCTGATTCCCTCAACTGGCTTTCTCTCATACTGAAATGCACTTCTGGCCTTCTCGAAATGCACTTCTGGCAATCTCTGCCAAAGCATATAGAAGCGTACTGGGTAGGTAGGTGTGGTGGGATGAGTATGTGGGAAATTAATATTTTTTATCGTGCCTTTTTAGGTTGTTAAGGTAAAGTTATGGTTATTTGAAAAGTGTAACAAACAAATAATAGACCTCATACCTTCCTCAAGTACTGGGAGCTTGACAGCAAAGATTAACCTCATCCAACCTGGTGAAGAACAGTACATCCTTGCTCCAGGATTTATGTACAGTCCTGCATCTAACAGCTCTCCATATAATGCTGAAATAGTGCACAGTACCTAAAATAAGGTATTTATCTTGCATGTATAATTTATCTATCATATAATTTAAAACATCATAATAATAATAATATTAAAATATCAAATAATCTTTTCCCCTATGACTGGGAAAAAATTTCCTGGGACTGTACAGAATATGTTATACAACTGGTGATGCTCTAGAACTCTAGGTACTATATAATAAAAAAATCCCAGGCAAATACTGTGTAATGTGCAAAGCCTCTGGCTTACAAAAACAAAATGCATTATCTGAATGTATAGATGCTATCTCATGTTTTAGCCCCTCGAAGGGTTCATACTGCATTACAGGCTGCCACTTTTTTGTTTTTTTAATACAGATTCAGTTCAAATAGGTCATCTGGAGGCCTGGTCCTCGACCAGGCCTCCACCCCCAGGAAGCAGCTCGTGACAGCTGACTAACACTCAGGTATCTATTTTACTGCTAGGTAACAGGGGCATAGGATGAAAGAAACTCTGCCCATTGTTTCTCGTCGGTGCCTGGGATTGAACCCAGGACCACACGATCACAAGTCCAGCGTGCTGTCCGCTCGGCCGACCAGCCGTCATAGTCAGCCATGATTTCACTTTAACATTTTCTCTGTGGTATTGCAAAACAGACATGTAGAAATCCTTCTCGGGTTTATCCATGTGGAATATTCATTGCAACATGTCCCAGATGCCACAACCATGGCTGCAGTTATATGCCATCTACACAGCACTTGTAAATGTTACATTACCACTTGACAAGTTGAGTCATGAGATGGCAGGCATGCAGTCAGATGATGCAGTTTGCATTTTGCAACTAAGATGTATGTAAAGTACATAATTTTGGGTAACAAGAAAGAGGATGGTGTTTTTTTATGTTTATTCACTTTGTTTACAGCCACTGGATGTTAGAAAGGGCACGACTATGTCGTGATAGGTTAAAACGAGGATGCTTGTCATATTCAAATTCATATTTTTATTTAAAAGAATGTGTACAAAGAACATAAGAGTAATGCACAATTGTGGGGATATGCTGCTGGCAGAATCAGGTGGGATGTAGTGCTGAAGGTGGCCAGAGACAGAGAGCTTGTATGCTACCTGGATTTGAGAGCCTAGTTTGAGTTAGGCAGGAGGTGGAAGGCTCAAATATGGACGAGAGCAAAGAGTTCAAATGTAGGCTGGAGTGGAGAACCCAGATGAGGGGTGAGAGTGGGGGAGCTTGAATAAGGTTGGGATTGGCTGTCTGCTTTTTAGCAGGGCTTGTAGCGTCTTGTGTGTAAGTTGGAGCTAGACTGACGATGCGGTATTCTCGACCGTGTTATATTGCATTGTCTCGACCGTGTTAAGGGAGCCGGTCGGCCGAGCGGACAGCACACTGGTCTTGTGATCCTGTGGTCTCGGGTTCGATCCCGTGCGCCGGCGAGAAACAATGGGCAGAGTTTCTTTCACCCTATGCCCCTGTTACCTAGCAGTAAAATAGGTACCTGGGTGTTAGTCAGCTGTCACGGGCTGCTTCCTGGGGGTGGAGGCCAGGTTGAGGACCGGGCCGCAGGGACACTAAAGCCCCGAAATCATCTCAAGATAACCTCAAGATATTTGTGTCCACCTGACCTTGTGTTGAACACAGCTTACTGTTTACTTGGCTGGTTAATCCTCATTTGGTCTGATGGGAAACTCATGGGTTACAAATCCACAGGAGCCATTATGAGGATTCGAACCTATGCGCTGGGTGTTCCCAGGCACCTGCTCCAATGTTCGCTCCTGTGGATTTGTTCATTGAATATCACGATACACCGTAATGTGATTTCTCTGTGTACTCACAGGTTACTTTTGGTTGTCCCAAGTGATTAGTAAAAATGTAATGCGAAACGTATATTAATGTAATTACAGATGCCATTAATGATTAGTGAATAGAGCGCAGGTGTCATTAGCAATTATGGGGATTATTGGGAATGAATAGAATTTCTTGGAACGTGGAATAATTTGGGGATAATTTAAGTAGCTGGTACATTAGAGAACATGTGGTTTTCTACAGGTACTTGCACAATATGTTCTCCACAAAATTTAATTACACATAAAAATCTCTCTTATACCCAAAATTTAGCATTCTTCTCTTTACTGTAATCTTATCTACTTTCTTGCCCATTGCATGTAAGACAACTGTCAGATTCCTTGGCACAAAGATATGCATAAAAAGTTCATTAATATTTTCTGTTGTGTAAGCTCTAGTTAACAAAAACTGTGCATAACCTTACCCATCTCTTCCTCCTCAGTTTGCTGTTTCATGAATGCCTGGACATTAAACCACACAAAGAGACCTGCTTTTGACTTTTTAACTGTCACACCCATCTTCTCTAAGTGTTCAAGCGTTATCTTGTAATTTTGAGCAATCCGTTTCTTGTTAGTCGGAAGGAAATATTCATCACACCAAGCTATGCCGGAAAAACATATGAAATTTACTGAGATACACAAAACGTACTTAAAAATATATACTGTACCATATTTTGAGTTAGTGAAAAGAATAGATTTTTTCATGAGTAAATTATTTTACTACTGCAGAAAGTATTATGGACAATCAATCAGGAATGTATTTGGCATTAATGCTACATGGTCTGAGGCATCCCAGTAGACTATTTCAAGATGTTTGAGATTCACTGTAAAAAGGGTCAATCCTCCCAGTGGTTCTCGCCAACAAACCCATAAGCCAATCAAATTAAACACTTGCTCTCCACGATCACCAGGTAGCAGTACCGCTGTGAAGCAGGCCTTTTCTATCATCTCCCACCAACCTGGTACATAGCCTGACATTGATGGGCAAGTATTTGATGTCATGGAGATTCTATTAGGCTTGGGCTTAAAAATAGGCCCATCTGAATATCTGTTACCTTGGCTGGATCAGTTTTTAATGTAAAGATTCCTAAATATTTTAGAATGCTCCAACAAGGCAGCTTTAGCCCCTATGGCCTCTTTGCTGTATGTCTTCCTGTACTGGAAGTGACAGAATAATTATGCTCAGTAATATATGTAGTGTAGGGCAAAGGCATTGATGTTATTTATTTTCTGTTTTAAGAGTTTTTAATGATTCTATGGTAATTAACTATTTGAATCATTATTATCTGGATTTTTATACTGTATATCATAGCAATATACAATAAGGAGTCTTCAGATTTACTGGGGACAACATCAATACCGTACCAGTATCATTAAGAAGAGTGGCGATGGCATGCTGCATGATGAGTGGAATATTCTTAAAGGCAGCAGCGTTACTCAGGCAGGCAAGCACTTCATCAGAAAATGTTATAATTGTTGCAAAACGTGCCCCAGCAAAACCAAAGTCCTGTTTCAGTTGATTAACTTAGAATTTGGACAAAAAACATTTTTAATTTGTGAATCACTTAAAGGAAAGGTTTATTTCATAATAATATATGTACTCTCGTACATATATTATTATGGGGGAGCCTCGTAGCCTGGTTGGGGAGCCTCGTAGCCTGGTGGATAGCGCGCAGGACTCGTAATTCTGTGGCGCGGGTTCGATTCCCGCACGAGGCAGAAACAAATGGGCAAAGTTTCTTTCACCCTGAATGCCCCTGTTACCTAGCAGTAAATAGGTACCTGGGAGTTAGTCAGCTGTCACGGGCTGCTTCCTGGGGGTGGAGGCCTGGTCGAGGACCGGGCCGCGGGGACACTAAAAGCCCCGAAATCATCTCAAGATAACCTCAAGAATCAAGATAACTCTATGTGTAACCAACTGCTACAACCCATGGTCACAACAAGGTGTTCTTAGTGAAAGGAGAAAGAGCAGATCAAGCTTTAATTGCAATGGGTCCCATTCTGTAAAATTACATACCTGTACTATACTTTGTATGGGACAGTGGGTCCCATACAAAGTACATACTGTATTCCACATCTATAGTTGCCATGTAAGAATAAGCAAATATGAATATATACACAATTTATTTTGAAGACTGAAAATATTACTTACCAGATAAAATACAACTGTTCCATAGTTGAAAAAATATGTTTTGATTGTATTGCAGTTTTAAAGTTTTTATATTTGTTTAAAGATATAAAAAAAATTGTGATGAATATAAGGAAATGTCTCTTTCTGGTGGGTCCTTGAGTGGCTCCTCATTACCACTCTTCTCTTCTGTGGTATTCAGGGGTTGTTGCATTGGCAGAATGCTGCTAACTAGCCCCTAACGAGTGTGTGCATGGTTGTCCCAGGTTGCAAATGTTGCCCATACAGTTTCTTGTTTTGCACCATCTTACCTTTCTGGTGTTTTCTCTTTTGATTAAATGTGGTGCTGTAGTACCCCCAGACTCCCCTTGTCTCTACTGAGGGAACCAGATTCTAGTACAGTCCTGTCTTCCAATATATGCTTGTGAATTTTAGGTTGGTAGCTTGGGGAGCCACCGAAAAACCCGCCAGAAAAAGGAGTTTCATTACATCTAACACTGGATTTTTTGCCATGCCTCATAGTGATGCATTATCATACCAAATATGAGGAGGCAAAACCAGGGAGGGGCCCTGAAGATCAAGAACAGATACCAAGAATCTCTGGTTCTGTTATGAAATACAAGGAAGAGACTTAGGGGCCCAAACCTTAGTTACTGGAGACCACAAACCTAACTCTTGTGACTCTAAGAGACAAAGAAAGCTGAGAGAAGTCTGGTTCAAAGAATATCCATTTAGCCAAATGTGTCAATACCTGCAATGGTACACACTTAGTCCACTGACAAGATACATTGGAAAAATATATGAATTGATGAATGGGCCTAGTGCTCTTACCTCCCTAAATACATCTGTAGAATTATCACTAAATTTACCAAATTAAAATATGAGAATTAGATGATGCACAATGTGATATTCTTTACTGTATGTTGTATTAATGTTAACATAAATACTGTATAATGCTTCATTACTAACCTTGCTCACTGCCCAGAGTATGTGCGTGCGATGTGGGTCAGGCAGGTCCAGAGTTAATGCACTTCGGAATGTAGAATCCTCGTCAAACACGGTCAGTGCATAAATCTCATCGGAAATGAAGTGAATCTGATGCCTAAAGACAGATTTGAAAGCTGGTGATTACCTGCTTGTCTACTTAGTATGTTAATGAAAGAAATATATTAATTTACATAAATTACACCTGAAAAATTGGGGCCTTAACAGCAAAATTACAACGTAGGAATAAATTGATTTACCCAGTAACTCCTGAACTGTGTAGCTATTTAAAAGTGCAGTACTACATCGGGGGTGCATGCACATGACTTTAAAATAGTTAATGATTCATATGAGAAAAAGTGTATATGGCACTTGGAACACAATAGAAAATTTGCAGATAGAAAATAACTGGAGTGAATATTCAGGCGAAAAATGTGCACCTCATTTACACATTTGAGTCATGTATGTGTTGGGTACGTTTTATACATTGCACACACACACACGTTCATGAGTGCATGTGTAAGCATTTACCTATTAAGTGTCCACTGGTAGCAACATCTGGCATATAGGCTCCACCTCCTAGCTAGTGGTGCTTAGTGCTATTATATATATCTTTTGATATTCAAGGTAATTGGATTAAAGTGCAAGCCATTATTTTTTTTTGGTGCACTTCACTTCCTTATCATTCACATTGCATATGAATCTTTTCTTGCATTTCTTCACTTATTTTCATTTATAGTTTCAATCCCAAATCTATATCATCTTATTGTCCCTCTCTCTGATATCTCCCTTTCCCCCCATAGCATATTAAAATTTCTGATCTAAGGAAAGTGGATACAGCAGGTCAAATATTTCTTCCTCTTTCTTGTTCAATATGAGATCCAGCAATGATGAGACATCCCTTTGCCTTACTCTTGTGGCCTGCTTATTGTGCTAATGTATATAGGCCTTCAGGTTGAAGTATATAAAGCTGCAAATGCATATACAGTACCATCTTTTCTTGTCTCATAAGCCTTTCTGTCTATTTTGTTTCTTTTTGCAGGGATATTCCTGTGCAGGCCCTAAGCCTCTGGCTGGCCCACTAATTCTGTCTACTGATTTCCCATTAAAGTTACACAGTACCAGCAATCTAGTATTATCTTAGATTGCTAAAAGAATGTTAAAAGTCCCTCTTGCATGTTAAATAGTTCCTGTCTTACTCATATTTTACTTACAGGTGAGCTGTATCCCAGCCCGTCCTCCTAAGGTTTTCCAACGTCAAGAAAACGGTCAATTTAAAGTGTCCTCGCCTAACCTACCAGAGGACCTAAAACAGGAAACGGGACAGTACGCCACTTTCGCGAGCCGCTTCCATTTTCTAGTACAACAATTTTTGGCCTTGTGTAACGTATAAAAGCGAAAAGCAACGTTCTTTGTAGGAGGACAGGTTGTGCATCCAGTCATGATTATTACTTTATGTACAGTATTTGGTTCTCGATCTACAATGTTATAATATCTACATCTCGTAGATTATTGAGTCCTGAATTAATTTTGTTTTTTTGCTTAAGTATTTTTTCATCAGCAGTGTATCTCTCTTGTTGTGTGTAATGTGCAATTCTCTTTTAATCTAAATTTTAAAAACTCTACATTGAATGTAATGAAATGTTTCATTTTTTAGCAGCCCTGGTGGCTTCCTGAAGCTGAGATTGCTCCTTACTAAAAGGTCATATCAGTCAAGCTAGTTCTGTTTGGCCTACTGGAAACCAGAGCCAGAACATTGCCCTATCATAGTGATGATTCACCACCCCACTATAAAAAAAAATCAGAAATTAAGCAAAGTTTTACAGACAACTGGAAGGTTCACAAAAAAATGATGCCTTGAAACTGCATCCCCCCAAAAAAAATAAATCCCAAATGATTCACACACAAAAAAGGATTTACTCAAACTAGCTTCAAACTCATTATTACCAATTACCACCACTGGGTGGACTGGCTGCAGTCCTCAGCCAGTTCCCAATCTCAGTTCTAGAGCTGATGAACAACCCTATGACAAACTGATGAACTTGAAGGAGGGGGATCTCAGGGAGTCACTGGGACTCCTCCAGAAAGAGGCATTTCATTACATTCAACACTGGGTTTCTGGATGAGAGCCTCCCTCACCCAGGGAGGCTCTCCCTGGTCAATAGGGAGCCTAAAGATTAACATTAAAAATAATTACCAGGTCGATAGGGAGCCTCAAGCTTACTACCCACAGAGAACAAAAATGGGAGAAGGAGAAATGGCAGGCATTTGGACAAAGAAGAGAATCCATGTCAGGAGACTTAGCCCAAAGCAACACACAACCGACTGGCACCAGGAACACTAAAAACCAGGATGCTAGAACTTTGTTAGAATACCAAAACCCTCAAGCCCAAATATGAGTCCAGGACATGTTGGAGAAGATTAGTCAAAGCTGTAGACTTGCAAACATCATGAACACAAAGGTAGAATGAAGGCTGGCTACACTTGATGACATTGCAGATGACGTGAGAAATGAAAGCCTTGAAACAGAGGATCAAGGAAAGAAGGGTCAACCAGCAAAGCATCCACCGAAGTAGAATCAGTGGCCTGCAGCAAAAAGCTGCCATCGAACACAACAAATGATGCACCCTTGGCCTAACCAACCAAGCATCAATGACCAAAAGACCCCTCTGGAAGCATACTGACTCATTCTTTGCCAGAAAAGAAGTAGAGAACTGCACATAAACAACCTGCCCATGAGGACCAAAAGAACAGAACCCCTGCCTCTGGAGAAGAGCTTAAGGTCCCACAACACTACAGCAGGAGGTGAGAAACTACCAAAAGACAGCCTTGAAAAAGATATGAGCTAAAGGGGAAATTGTGAACCGAGGTGAGGAGAGTAAAACCAAAACCTGGTCAAGAGACCAGGATGATTCAGGAGGAGCATGAGCAGGCTGAAGGTGGCAAAACGCATGAAAATACTTGTGAAACAGCACCATAGAGGTGTTGAATCTGAGCATAAGCAACAATGGCTCCACCAATGACGAATGATAAGAGGCGACAGTATTAAACATGAGATGCCGATCAAGAAACAACCAAGGCCAAAAGAACAGGACGACCCTGACCAAAACTGAAGAAAGACAACAGGAAGTGGCAAAATGAGCACCATGCAATGTCATATTGCAGCCAAGAGGAAAGTCGCAGGTGGGACACCAACAATCCAGCTACCTGGTTACTATACAAATGGCAATAGACATGCATAAAAAACTCCAGACACGAAGAGCAGAGAAGTTCGAACCAACAAAGCACATTACCAGGTCGATCTGCTGAAAGATGTAGAGCTGTGGAAACACCCTGGTTGGGACACTGGGCCAAAAGTCCCAAAAATCAAGGCAGGGTCAGAAACCAAGGAACCAGAAGTACAGTATCGCTCTCCTTGAGCATGACTCCAGAATGAAGAGCACCTGAAGCTCAAATGAACGGGGGTAAAAGGTATGTGCACCTCCACCAGTCCAGTCGAAAGGCATCCACTACGAGAGCCCCGTGATCATGGAACAAAGGCACATAGGAGGGAAGGAGCTGGTTCCATACTCATTGAAAGAGGGGCCACCTCGGGGTGACCGAATGTCTCGTAGAGCCAACGGAAGATCACATCATCAACGGTTCACTCCATGGAAACTTGGAAACATTAGAGCATTGAAAACACCTCCGCCCACAAACTGCATAGAGAGCCAAACACCAAGAAGCCAGAAGCAGAGTCACTCCAAATAATTGGTTCCACAGGCAATGAAGTGACCCCTCCTGCTTGGAGGCAATGAACCACTGTAGAGCAGTCATCATGGTTTGATCCACCCTACGAGTTTTTTTCTGGTAGGGTGGTGAACTGTTACTGTCTCCATGTGCCTCTGTAAGGGAGTCAGATTCTGGTTCTGGTTCTCAGTAGGTTAAACAGAATTTTCATGATTGATGTGACATTTAATTATGGAGCATTTCTGCTTCAGGAAGCCACCAGAGGGCTACCCCCTAGAAATTACACATGCATGCATAAAATAGCATGTGATATGTAAAAACAGGATGTATAATAAACAACCTGGCACAGACATCCATCAGTTGAGCGACAAGGGATGGAGGATAGATATCCCCAAGGGGGTTATGGGGATTGATGAGAATAAAGGCCCTAACTCGACGTCCCTCTGTCTTCAGTTTCTTGATGCAGTGTTCCAGAGAATTTGCCTCTAGGCTAAACCTCACTCCATTTGAGTCCTCCTGTACGAAGAGTTCAAAAGAGGAGAATTAGTAAGTACCTGTATAGTATAAATTAAATATTATACTGTAGTTATTTATGTTTATACAGTATTATTAGAGAAAGAAAGGAGTCTATACAAGCAATAAGATGTGATGGGTGAATACCAGGATAGTCAAGCTTAAGGGCCACCAAAAAATTGGGAATGCTATAATAGGTGATGTTAATTATTTGGAGGTGCATTGAACACAATACTGTAATTAATTTTAAGAGTAAAATCATCTTAGATTCAGAAATGCAATATACCAACATTAACACGTACACTATATACTGTATGTCATACATATTTCAATCCAAAAACAAATATGTACTGCATTACTCATCATAACTATGGGTACAATTTTATATAATAATAATAATGATAAAGTTTATGCCTGTAAAAGTACATACATTCAAAATGAGTTACAAACACAATGTTGGATTTCTAGATAGAGCTAGTACATACTATGCCTAAAGCCACACTTACACACAGCATTTCGGATAAGATGTGGGAAAAACACATACTAAGACTTAAAGCTAACTGAGATCAAAAGTATAAATTGAATTGAAAAAGGGAGAAAAAATGATGATAATTACATGATATGATTATATTACATTACGTGATAATTTTCATTACATCTCAAACAGAAAATATATCAACATAGGTTGCAGACAATGAGTCATAATAACGTGGCTTACGATATGACGACTAAACACACAACAGAAAATGAGGAGACGACGACGTTTCAGTCTGTCCTGGACCATTATCAAGTCGATTGTAATGAGACGAGGGAGGCGCGGGCATTAAGTAAGGCAAGAGAAAGATGAGGAGGAGGAAATCTTAGAGGAAGGTAAGATCAAGGCAAAAAGTCCAGATGGATAGGTGTAATAAAGGGGGTGTAACATAGGTTAATAGGCTGATAGAATTTAAAATGGAAAAAAAAAAACATGTACACATAATGGAGTGGGGAAGGAGTGAATATAGGTACCACAGGATTCTAGTGAAGTCAGATAAAGATCAGAATCTTGGAGTGACTTACAAGCAATAGGTTACCTTACAATAGAACCATATATAGTAATTAACAAAATGCATGGTGCTTATGCAATGCTAGAAAATCTCTTATAGCATTTGATAGGCATTTGATAGACACTATCATTGAAGAACAATGATAGTGCGATGATAAATTTGTTTATTACTTATGTACAACCAATATTAGAATATGCAGCTGTGATATGGTGCTTGCATTTAAAAAAATAGGTGCAACTATAATATAAAGAGTACAACAACCTACAACAAAATGGATCACATAACTCACAGTTGCAGGCGATGAGTCATAATAACGTGGCTAAAGTAAGTTGACCAGACCACACACTACAAGGTGAAGGGACGACGACGTTTCGGTCCGTCCTGGATCATTCTCAAGACAATCGACTTGAGAACGGCCCAGGACGGACCGAAACGTCGTCGTCCCTTCACCGTCTAAGTGTGTGGTCTGGTCAACTCAAACAGTTGATTTATGAAAAGGTTCGGTTCCCTAAAACTTCCAAAACAGTACACAGTATACACATGTACAGTATATAAAACAATTTCAGTGTAAATGTATTCATACCTTTTCATGGATGAATGAAAGAAATGATGTATATACTGTGCAGCATTAGGGAAAGATAAATATATTTGATAAGACTTATATTTCCATCCATAGTAACTACTGTATCTAAATGTTAGCATCATTAGTTTATGACAATTCTGGTGCATTGATAGTTAATATTACCTGGTAATTGATAAACTCTGCAATATGACTTGCCTTGTCAGACAACACTAGAGGCTCGACACAGACATCTGAAACGTCACGGACGTCTGTGAAGATACGAGCATATACTGGAGTTGGTGTTATGATGACATCTCCAGCATCACACAGAGTATGGGCTAAGGCGTCCAAGCATGATGTTACTCCACATCCTAGCACCAACTAGGTCATGTGAGATGACAGCTATTTTAATTATATTGTAAGATTAATATAAAGGGGCATACATGTGCTTGCTGTACACTGTTTACAGTTGAGCATCAGTTGACATTAATTACCTCGAAAAAGTACTGTCCATTATTTTCTTGGATTTGCCTTTTAAACAAGATAAAAAGTAATGTAGAGTTTAGTAAAACACTCCTTTTCGATCTGGTCTCTAAAATGTTACTTGAGCAAGAGCTATCATGGTTCACATGAACTATATTCCTATGCAAGGCTCTCAGTGATTTAGAGCCCACCGACTCAGCCCGACTAGCCAGACAATTATACTGTATGTTTGAAAATGGTGTTGTCAAAGAAAATAATTGATTAGAGAGAAATCCACTCCCTCTTCTAGTTATATACCCTAAACTCAATCCACTGAGGGACCAGCTTGCTGTGACACATATGTAATAATTAGCCCAGCACTAAGCTTGCCAATTAGTGCTCTGCTACACCCTACAACCATTAAAAAAATAAACAGGATATTTTTTTAAGCAACCATTATGTACTAAAATAACTAGTCTAATATAACTCTTGCATAATAATTTCATACTAATCATAATAATGTTTGGTACTCTGCTAACTGTGATAGTTTAAGAATAGAGTAGTCAAATATTGTAATTTTTATTCTGTACTCTGACCTTATGAATTCAAGATTTGGCTCTAATGAAGTTGGTGTAAGAGCAGTTTAATATATACAATGTACAAGTGCTACAAACAATTACAACTGTTATATGCATTATCTACATTATACTAAAATAAAAAATACTTAAATTAAATGAACAAATCCACAAGGGCCGTGACGAGGATTCGAACCTGCGTCCGGGAGCATCCCAGACACTTGTGGATTTGTTCATTTGATGCATCACGTTAGTGTGATCTCTGTGTGTAATGCTTACATTGTTTGGCAGGATGGCCTGCCTGGGGTGAAGGTGCCTGTTGAGAAAATTTGCCACTGCTTCCCTCACTTTCAAAGAACCTGACCAAGGTGCATATTGTAGGTGCTTGGTCAGGACATTGAGGGCATCCCCCTGCATTAACCTACTGGTTAACTCCTCCTCCATTAGGCAGTTCACTGAGGTGCCTAGATTCACTGTACCCTATTTGCAGAAATCATGTCATAAGTAAATTGTTCGGCTCCTACTAATTGCATTGTGATTTCAGGTTTCAGGCCAGTCATTATCAAGCTGTATATGCCTATAACTGAATTCATATGCTCTCTTATACAGAGCTTGAAATATAGAATGCCACATTGCTTTTATAATTTAAGATAGTAATTTTTTAAAATTTAATAAAAAGGGCAACCATTGCTAATTGCAAAAAAAAAAAAAATTAGTTTTGAACTTTATATACACCAGAGTACAGCAGAACTTATTAGGCAACACCCTTAATTAATACTATTATTAACACAATAATAACACAATTGGCAATCCCACTTTTACTCATTTCTAAAGACATATCGTTAAAGTAAAAATGTTAAGCTGTCATCATCATAGCCAACTTACTTGAGGATTTTGTTTAGCATCAAATATATTTTCAAGTACTTTAGCAAAGGTGTCATATAGGAAGTCCTTGTAGGATGCAGTCTTTGCCCCCCTGGCAGAAAGGAAAGCATTATCCACTTGCCGAGTTGTTGCCGTTACTGAACTCATCGTCTCTTCTTAACACCAGTGCTTGCACTTTTGCTGACTCTTGGCTTAAGCTTTTGCTGAAAATATGTTTGAGAAGGTTAACAAAATACATCATAATATTCTAGTGGTAATTCTGAATATTGTATGCATACAGGCACAATGGTCTACATCCTAGGCTCACAACCAATGGACATGGGTTCAGTCACTGGGCAGGATAACAGAAGGAATAAAAAATTTTATGAAATTTTTACATGACAAACAACAGCAGTAATACAGGGTATAATAATTAATAATTCATTGTGTTAGGGGGACAGGCAGCCAGTGTTATGCTTACATAGAGGTCCTCCTAAGGTCGGACTACTGACCCTTCCCTAGATGCAACCCCCACAACATGCTGACTAACTCTTGCATACTTATTTACTGCTAAGTGCACTAGGTGATAGGAAACGCTCCCAATCATTTCTGTCCCACTTGGGATTTGAACCCAGAATTCTCAAGTGTGAGTCGAGGACAATTGAGATTGTACTACCGAGACCAACAAGATGGTTATGGGGCCCAGAGGATGGTTATGGGGCCCAGAGGATGGTTATGGGGCCCAGAGGATGGTTATGGGGCCCACAGGATGGTTATGGGGCCCACAGGATGGTTATGGGGCCCAGAGGATGGTTATGGGGCCCAGAGGATGGTTATGGGGCCCACAGGATGGTTATGGGGCCCACAGGATGGTTATGGGGCCCACAGGATGGTTATGGGGCCCACAGGATGGTTATGGGGCCCAGAGGATGGTTACAGGACCCAGAGGATGGTTACGGGACCCAGAGGATGGTTACGGGACCCAGAGGATGGTTATGGGGCTCAGAGGATGGTTATGGGGCCCAGAGGATGGTTATGGGGCCCAGAGGATGGTTATGGGACCCAGAGGATGGTTATGGGGCCCACTGTAAGCATATACAGTAGTACAATACAGTAGATTTCTCTTTAGGTATACACCAGCTCGTTGCTGAACGGTAACTTAGGGCCAGGACAGCACACCACACACACATACACACACACACACACACACACACACACACACACACACACACACACACACACACACACACACACACACACACACACACACACACACACACACACACACCTGACAGCTACAGTATAATATGCTAGCTGTACCTTGACTTACTAGTTATCGAGGACACTGTTAATGTTAAGAACCTGCCAAAAGGGTGTCGGTGTTCCGTGTGGCTTGTTATCTCGCCTCATTATCCACTTGGAGTGGCAAATGGCCAACTGCCAAGGCTACTAGACCAGGGACTATATATAGTAAGGCAAGACACACATTATAACATTAGTTCAATAATATATCATATACGTAGTCAGGTAAAACAGATACATATAGTGCTAATAAGAAATAAAGTTTGTTAAGTCTTTATTTTTCAATGACAGGCTTGCACGGTTTGTAAGAGTAATGTAACATGAGTACTTTTCAAATCTGGCGGGTCACATTTGCTATAAGAGAATGTACTACATGTTGGTCCCATCAACCACATAATTAAACAAAAAATAGTACCATTAAAACGAGGTTTGTTTTAATGTTATTAATGTCATTTGTTATTGGTATTAAAACAAAAACAGATTGTGGATGACCATGAACTGGCACAACGCTACGATGGCTTTTTGGCTTTAATGTAACCCCAGATCAAATCAAATCAAATGTTTATTCAGGTAAACTAGAGAAACTAGCTCCTAGATAGGCTCTCGTAGTACAATTGGCTTCGTTCTCGGCGCGCAATCGGGGATTCCTGGTTCGTTTCTCGCCCGGGACAGTAATAGTTGGACATGTTGGCTTTCACCTCGTGCCTCTGTTCACCCATGTAGCCTAGAGTCAGGCATTTGTTATAGAGTTGTATTCTAGGGAGGGGTCAGTTAGTTCGTCCTTAGAGGGGAGGGGGACCGCGATATATATAGTCTCCACATATAACTTTATTTATTTATATAAATACAAGAGTTCTTACATTCTTGCACAACCACCAGCACGCATAGCGTTTGGGGCAAGAAATATGGTTTTATGCACGTAATGTACACATTACTTTACCACCACCTTCACCCGTCACACTGAAAAAGCTTTATATAGATCTAAAGTCAGTCTTTGACACGGCAAAGCCAGCAAGTCGTCCTTGAGTGAACGCGCAAGAATGGCTGTTGTAAGGTGGCGCTCCACGGGCCAGTCAGTTCTATCCTCTTTAATGTAATAATTATAGAATATTATACAATATTTCCACACCACCCAAGAGGTAAACAATTCGGTGAACGTAGCAGAATGATCTTAGTATCTGATAAACATCTGAGCACTTCTACACACAGAAATCACAATAGCGTAATATATCAATTGAACAAATCGCTGTTGTTTGATAAAGGTTAACAAAAAATCTTGTTTTTATTTGAGAAATTTCAACTATCTGCCGGCAGATAATTGAAATTTCATCCATATATATATAATAATAATAATAATAATAATAATAATAATAATAATTTTTATTTAGGCAAAGGTACATACATAAAGAGATTTTACAAAGTTTGTTGGCTTTATAGATAAGAGCTAGTACATACAAAGCCTAAAGCCACTATTACGCAAAGCGTTTCGGGCAGAATATATATATATATATATATTAGGCCCGATTTGCCTAATAAGCCAAGTTTTCCTGAATTAATATATTTTCTCTAATTTTTTTCATATGAAATGATAAAGCTACCCATTTCATTATGTATGAGGTCAATTATTTTTTATTGGAGTTAAAATTAACGTAGATATATGAAAGAACCTAACCAACCCTACCTAACCTAACCTATCTTTATAGGTTAGGTTAGGTTAGGTAGCCGAAAAAACATTAATTCATGAAAACTTGGCTTATTAGGCAAATCGGGCCTTGCATAGTAGGCTGAGAAGTGAGTTCTGGCTACTAGGCACGACATTATATATATATATATATATATATATATATATATATATATATATATATATGTCGTACCTAGTAGCCAGAACTCACTTCTCAGCCTACTATGCAAGGCCCGATTTGCCTAATAAGCCAAGTTTTCATGAATTAATGTTTTTTTGTCTACCTAACCTACCTAACCTAGCTTTTTTTGGCTACCTAACCTAACCTTACCTATATATATAGGTTAGGTTAGGTTAGGTAGGGTTGGTTAGGTTCGGTCATATATCTACGTTAATTTTAACTTCAATAAAAAAAAATTGACCTCATACATAGTGAAAAGGGTAGCTTTATCATTACATAAGAAAAAAATTTTAGTAAATATATTAATTCAGGAAAACTTGGCTTATTAGGCAAATCGGGCCTTGCATAGTAGGCCCAGAAGTGCGTTCTGGCTACTAGGTACGACATATATATATATATATATATATATATATATATATATATATATATATATATATATATATATATATATATATATATATATATATATATATAAATGATGTGTGTGTGTGAGAGAGAGGTGTCACTAAACGTTCCAAGTAACACGGGCTATGGTGAGCCCGTAGTGGACTTACTTGGCACAGAGGAGATATAACTGGTGAAGATTAAGCCACCCAGGAGGTGGTACGGGCGTGAATAGCCCGTAAGGGATATAACTGACGCTCTCCCCCATCAATACACGCCTTGTTTTACACTCCACCTCTCCTACAAAACTCCTCTCCTTAAACTTACCTTCCAGAACCCTTCTCCTTTTGGAGTCCCCCCATCCAAGGAAACTCCCTCCACCAGATCCCCCTCTCTCCACCAGATCCCCCCCCTCTCCAACAGACCCCCTCTCCAGAACCTCATTAAGATGTCCTCTCGTGAACCCCCCTCCCCCTCAACAAACCACTCGCCAGGTGTAGGTGACCCACCATTGAGAAAGGGCGTCATCGTCCTTGTCTGGAATGTTGGGGGGGTAAGGAGGACCCGGGAAGGGGGCAGGGAGATCGTAAGGGAGGGGGAGTGATGAGGGAATCAGGGAGAGGGGAAAGAGGTATTGTGGGTGTTGGGTGGGTGGGGGGGGGAGCACAAAAAAAGGGTATCCGCTTGAGGTCACCTCAGGAATGCGGATAGGTAAGCCAGGTGGAAGCAGGAGGGTGAGGGATGGGGGGTATGGGGGGGGGGTAGGAAGGTGAGACGAGAATAGGGGTCGGGAAAAGAAAGAAGAGTAAAGGGATGTCTAAAAAAGAGAGAAGAGGTATATACAAAAAGGAATTGCAGAGGGATAAGATAAACAATGCGAGAGACAAAAAAAAGAGGCGAGAATTAGAAGAGAGAGAATATTAAAAGCTGGGATCTCGAACGAGTTGGGGAAAATGATGATGATGAGTCCAGATAGCATCAGCAGGGGAAAGGGATCTTAAACTTTTTGTTCAACTTTCGCTACACTACACATACTGGTTTCTCTCTTATCTCTCCTCCCACCACAACTACCCCCTCCTCACCATCACTACACTACACCACAAACTCTTAACAGCTCTCTAACCCCACCAGCTTGCTATAGTACCTAGTGAACTTATTCCTCCCGAAATTCCAGGTACTCTGTTATACTTGCTCTTGAAACTATGAATAGTTGATGTTTCCACCACCTCTGGTTCAATACTGTTGAAGGTGCACAGATTTAGTACTAAATTAATCCAGATTTCTGGATGCCTAATAGGAAGGTAGAAATAGCCTAAGCTATCCAATCATTTGTGATGTATTTTATCTCAATAAACTTATTTGTATATGAATTTGTGTACCTAACCTAGCATAGCCTAATGCAGCCTTCCTCTTGAAGGTTAACTAGGAGTTAGTTACTTTCTCACAGTAAGTGCAGACTAGGAAGACATGACGCAAGTGTACAGATGGATGAAAAGGTTTAACAAAGGGAAAGAGAAATGAGGGTTCGAAAACATATATTTAATTAAATTGAAAACAAAGGGCTTCGAATATGAAAATTTGGTTTAAAAATATATAGAAACGACATCTTGGGAAGAGATGTGCGTACCTTTCAATCTGAGTGAGGAACTCTCAGTACAGTTACAAACCCATTAAGATTTCAACTTAAATTCAACAGAGCAGAAGAAGTTGTTTAACACATGGGGCAAAAATCTCACCGAAGCGATCATACAAGTCATAAATACTCGTACTCCGCCCAAGTAAAACAGAAACAAGCAACACTTAGTGGGCCAGCCAGAGGCTTAGGGCTCGCAGGAAAAAAAAGTGAGGAACTGAGCCAACTTTCGCCTGTACTTTCAGTGAGTTCCGGAACCTCCGTTTACGGTCGTGTAAATGTTTATCTTTGGTCATGGGTGTCGAGCAGGTGTTATAAATAAGGGAAAATAGTAAGGTAATTATGAGGATATATCAATAGGCCAGTATGACTATCCAGCAGTTAGAAAGGCTATATGATAACGGAGTGAAGGAACGATGTCCGAAAATATTGACCATCAGAGATCGAACGCCGACCCTGCAAGAAGCGCGGTCGTCGCTCTACCCACCAGTTTAAAGGAAAACATTACGTAAACGAAGTCATTTTCGGGTCATCCAGCCATATATTTTCTATAGTATGTTGGATTAATGATGGTTAACCCCAATTATGATTTAGTTTGGCCATTATGGCTTGGTTTGGAATTCGTGTTATTGGACACGTGAAGCCTTTTAGGAGTCTCGAGGGCCCTCCCTCTGCCCCACATTTTTCTTTATTATGCACCCCATACCCATCCCGGGGACGGTCGTTGAAAGGGTTACAGAGACACACAATCGGTTCAGGAACTGAACTACATAGTTCATTTAGCATTTCTTACATTCTTTGAGAATGTAAGAAATGCAAGAAATTTCTTACATTCTTTGAGAATGTAAGAAGCCCTTACGAAACGAAGCCCTTCTAGTTAGAGTTAAATTCCCCAGACAACTTATTGGAACCCTTTACTATGTTGTAATGCCCAAGATATTGCTGTACCCAAGATGTTTTCTTGTACACAATATTAGTATGCCCAAGATGCTGCTATTTCCTAAGTGTTTATTGGTGTGCCCAAGATGCTGCTATTCCCTAAGTGTTTATTGGTATGCCCAAAGATGCTACCATTCCCTAAGTGTTTATTGGTATGCCCAAGATGCTGCCATTCCGTAAATTTGATGACAAAACTCCTGTTATGCCCAAAATGATGAATGACCAAACTACAGTTTGGTATCATCCTTTGCAAACACCAAATGCAGCAAGAAACTTGTAGCAGTACAAGGCAGTGAGCATTTACAACGTT